GGGCTTCTGGAGTCCTGGCCCCACTGCTGGACCTCCTGATGGCACCTGGTATTTTTGGCCACTGTGTGACACAGAGTGTTGGACCGGATGGGCCTTTGGCCTGATCCAGCATTGGCTTCTCTTATGTTCTTAGGTCCTTAAGGTATAGATAGGAACTCTCGGTCTGGGGCAAGGGATGCTCTGTATTATTGGTGCTTGGAAGGGGGGCAACAGTGGGAGGGCTCCTAGTGTCCTGGCCCCACTGGTGGACCTCCTGATGGCCCCTGGTATTTCTGGCCACTGTGTGACAGAGTGTTGGACTGGATGGGCCATTGGCCTGATCCAGCATTGGCTTCTCTTATGTTCTTAGGTCCTTAAGGTATAGATAGGAACTCTCGGTCTGGGGCAAGGGATGCTCTGTATTCTTGGTGCTTGGGGGGAGGACAGTGGGAGGGCTTCTAGTGTCCTGGCCCCACTGCTGGACCTCCTGATGGCAGCTGGTGTTTTTGGCCACTGTGTGACACAGAGTGTTGGACCGGATGGGCCTTTGGCCTGATCCAGCATTGGCTTCTCTTATGTTCTTAGGTCCTTAAGGTATAGATAGGAACTCTCGGTCTGGGGCAAGGGATGCTCTGTATTCTTGGTGCTTGGGGGGAGGACAGTGGGAGGGCTTCTAGTGTCCTGGCCCCACTGCTGGACCTCCTGATGGCAGCTGGTGTTTTTGGCCACTGTGTGACACAGAGTGTTGGACTGGATGGGCCACTGGCCTGGTCCAACATTGGCTTCTCTTATGACCTTCTGAGTGAGAGGAACTGCCCAGATGAACCCTGTGACTGCCCTGAAGGGGCTCTGTAAGAAGCTGGACCAATAAACGTTTGTGAAAGCGACTCCTCCTGCCCGTGTGAGTCTACATGAAGCCCGGGGAGGGCGACGGAGGGACGGCCGTGCCCCACATTACCGGAACTGCCTCTAATGTCTGCACCAATGGGGAGGGGGGGGGAATGGACCAAGACCTGGTGCTTGGGGGGCCACCGTGGGAGGGCTTCTGGCGTTCAGGCCAATGTTCCCTCTACGCTGTGGAAGTCCCGTGAGCAAAAATCCTGTTTTGTGAGCTACGGGCATTAAAGTTGCGAGCGAGCGATTTGGGTACTGCCTAAATGAGTTTGCTCCGGAGCCGCCCGTCCAGAGCGAAGACCAAAAATGTGTGGGCCAGAGGCTAAGAAACTGTGGGCCAGCTCACACTAGCTCAGCTTAGGGGGAACACGGGTTCTGGCCCCACTGGTAGACCTCCCGATGGCCCCTGTGTTTTGGCCCCTGTGTGACACGGAGTGTTAGACTGGATGGAGCGCTCGCCTGATCCAACGTGGCTTCTCTTAAGTTCATATTACATGATAGATAGGGGCTCTGGGGCAAGTGATGCTCTGTCTTCTTGGTGCTTGGGGGGGTCAACAGTGGGAGGGCTTCTAAGGTCCTGGCCCCACTGGTGGACCTCCTGATGGCACCTGGTATTTCTGGCTACTGTGTGATACAGAGTGTTGGACTGAATGGGCCTTTGGCCTGATCCAACATTGGCATCTCTTATGTTCTTATGACCCCCAAGGTCTCCCTTCTCCGGCGGGGCTTCACCCTTGTGTTCTGAGAACAATTCAGAAAAGTTCTTTGCGCGGACGCCTTCTTTTCCCGAGTTTTTTTTGCCGACAGTTCGGTGGACAGATCCGCCAAATGGGAAACGCTGCCTTGGCTCAGGGGAGAAGGCGGAATGACGAGCGTGTGCCGAAGCGGCAGAGCGCACCCTTACCTTCTGCGCTTGGGTGGGCTCGGTGAGGATCTGGGTGAAGAGTCCCAGGACGACTTCCTCGTGCTGGGTGGCTCCTTTGCATACCTGTGGGGGAGCAACAAAGGGAGGCGATCAACAGCTGGCCTGAACCCGGGGGCAAGACGGGCAGGGAGGATGGAGGACCGTGAGCAGAAGTGGCTTGAAGAGGGGACTGGGATGACTCGTGGGGGAGAGGTCCATCAGTTGGCTACTAGCCACTGAGATGGAAGCCAAAAAAGGGAGTAGGGGTACCTAGAAGAGAAGAAGAAGAAGAAGAGATTGGATTTATACTCCACCCTTCACTCAGAGCAGCTTACAAACTCCTTTCCCTTCCCCTCCCCGAAGAAGAAGAAGAAGAACAACAAGAGGAGGAGGAAGAAGAAAAACAACAACAATAGGAGGAGGAGGAAGAAGAACAACAACAATAGCAGCAGGAGGAGAAGGAGGAGGAAGAAGAACAACAACAGGAGGAGGAGGAGGAAGAAGAAGAACAACAACAACAGGAGGAGGAGGAGGAGGAAGAAGAAGAGGATGATGATGAGAAGATTGGATTTATACCCCGCCCTTCACTACCCAAAGGCGTCTCAGAGCAGCTTACAAACTCCTTTCCCTTCCCCTCCCCACAACAGACACCCTGTGTGAGGGAGGTGGGGCTGAGAGCTCTCTCCCGAGGACTGCCCTTGAGAGAACAGCTCTGCGAGAACTTCTGACTGACCCAAGATCACCCAGCTGGCTGCAAGTGGAGGAGTGGGGAGCCAAACCCGGTTCTCCCAGGTTAGAGTCCGCACACTTAACCACGACATCAAACTGGTTGGCTACTGGTTGAAATGGGATGCTGGACTAGATGGACTACTGGTGTGACCCGGCGGGGCTCTTCTTTTATTCTTATGACTGGCGGAGCGAGGACTCCAAAGAGATGCTCGAACACTGACGCAAACAGTCTAGAGACAAGTCTTTCGAGCTGAACTAAATCAAAATCTGGCGGTGTGTATAGAAATCCAGGTATTGAGGCGTACAGACACAGGCCTCTGATGTGCTTGAGAAACTTTTAAAGGAGAGAAACCCAAGGTCGGGGGGAGGCGGGTACCCCGCAAGATGATGATTCTTAACAAAGCTGCTTCCCCGGCACCATTGATCGACACAAGTGGAGAAACACAAAGGTGTCTTTCTGTGTACGGCTCAGTCTCACAGAAGACAGACGCGCGTTCTTCCTCCCACGGTGAGTGTGGCGGGGAAAGCAGGGACTCGAAGAAGGGCTGCCTCCTCCCCTCCCAGATTCAGCCCACATCCTTTCGGGACAAAAAGACTAAGCTTTCGCTCCCGGATTTAGAGTCTGTCTACTTGGGGGGCAGAGAGATTTTCCTGCACACTTGGAGCAGTCCCCAGCAGTGTTCCCTCTAAGCTGAGTTAGTGTGGAGCTAGCTCACGGTTTTTTAGCCTCCAGCTCACACATTTTTGTCTTCGCTCAGGAAGGATGGGGCTCCAGAGCAAACTAATGTATGCAGTAGCCAAATAGCCCGCTCCCAACTTTAGTGCCAGTGGCTCCCAAAGTAGCATTTTTGCTCACAAGACTCCACAGCTTAGAGGGAACATTGGTCCCAGGTGTGCAGAAAATTCTAAAAAGTTGAAAAAACTATACGGGGGATAATTAAATCCCCCCCAAAAAAGGAAAAGAGAATGCCCTGGCAACTGTCTCGCTGCTGCTGCCGCCACTGGAGGAGGAAAAGGCCTGGTGGGCCCGTGGCTGTGAGCTGCTCAGGCCTCACCGAAGGCTTGGTGGGCCTCAGGCCTCGCTGCCGCAGAGGGGGGAGCAGGAGAAGGCTTGGTGGGCCTCAGGCCTCGCCGCCGCCGCTGCGGGAAGGGAGAAGGCTTGGTAGGCCTCGCCACCGCCAGTGTTGGGGGAGGGGGGAGAAGTCTTGGCGGGCTTCAGGTCTCGCCGCCGCGGGGGGGAGGGAGGAGGGAGAAGGCTTGGCGGGCCTGCTGGGGTCACCTGCTGCCACTTCCTCCTCCTGCGGAGCTCCTCCTGCTTCTGCAGGCCGGGAGCTGTGGGGAATACTCTCCCCCTCCCCCGCGAGTATCGCGGGTCCCCCCTTCTTGTGTTCTTATAAGAGAAAAGATTCTGGACGCAACACTGCAAGCAGGAGATACTCACATGGGTATTCAGGGCGTCATTGGCTTCCCTCTCCGAGACGCCGCCCGTCAGAGCCGTCACGACGCCCATGCATCTTTCAAGCCTCTGAAACAGATAAAACAAATCCAGACGGTTACTAAGTGAAATGAAGAGAGACGGCCACCGCCAGGCAGACCAAGAGGACTAAGCGTTTCTAGCCCCTGGTGAGGACGGGCATGAATGGGACGTGTAGCCTATATACCGAGGCGGCCACGCACCCTGCTGGCAAGAGGTAGGAAGTGCCTCATGTCACCAAGCAGGAGAACTTCCTGGAGTTCCAGAAGCCTGGCCATGCTGGCATGGATCTGATGCAACGTCCCTGCAGGCGCAAGGACTTCTGCCTGCAGACTCTGACTCTCGTGGTTCCCGTCTTCTGCAGCGGCCTGAAGAGCAACAGTCTGGGACGCTGCAGGGAGGGAGGGGAGAGCCACAAAAGTCACACTCGTCCATGACTTTTGCTGCGTTGAATCCACCCTTTTGAGTCTGTTGGGCTGGAAAACCCAAAGGAGTCTTGGCGGTCCCTTCAACGGTTAACAGACTCATTTGCACAGGCGCGTCTGCTGACTTTGAAAGGTGCAAAGAGACGCGCTTTGGCTTCTGCTGGGCAATCTGCTCTGTCCCTTCTAGGCTTACCGATGACTACCACATTTTATTTTATTTTTTATTTTGTTATCTAAAATATTCGACTAGCGTACCAGTCGGGCCTCACTTCAGCCACAAACAGCAAGCTGTCAAGCCATCCAAGACGGGCGGCGGCAGCGACACAGTATGAAGCCACTTCGATCATTGCCGACAGCTGCCGGCCGTTCAGCCCGGCCAGGGCGACGGGAGGGGGAAAGGGGCTGCGGGTACAACCCAGGTGTTCCCCGGAGATCTCATGAGGCTGCTAGTTCTCCCGAGACTTCAAGGGAATTGACTGAGCACGTGCAGTCTGCTGCTGTAACCTTATATA